CCTGCTCCTCCGTCCTGCTCCCCTTCTCCTTCTTCCTCTTCCTCCCGTTCCCTTCTCCGTCCCTCCTCGTTGTCCCTTCTTCGTCCTCCTCCTACTCGATCCTCGGTCCTGCACCGTCTCATCCTGGGTCCTCAGCTCTCTGCCCCGAGTTCTTGATCCACCTCCTGCCTCGATCCTCGATCCCGGACCTCCGATCCCGGAGGATCGCTCCTCTGGCTAGCTCCTCCATCCTCGATCTTTGCGCCCCCCTCCTCCCTTCCTCGATCCTGTCCCCTCCGTGCTCCTCGCCCCTGCACCCTCCTCGGCCCCCGATCCCGGGCCCACTGTCCTCGCCCCCTCTCCCGGCGCCAAGGGCCGCGGGCACAGGGCGCGTGGCCAGCGGGGCCTGCCGACGAGTGGGCGCACCCACCCGCGCGAAGACCGCCACACGGATGGCCGTGACCCGCTGAGCCATGTTCTTCGGGGCGACGTCTGCGGGGGCGGCGGGCAGGGCCACAGGGGCGGAGCGACACCTCCTTCCTCCTCCTCATCCTCCACATATTTCTCCTCCTCCTCGTCCTCCTCTTCCTCCTCCTGGCGCTGGGAAGCAGAGGGGGGGGGGCCCTTCCGGTGACTGGGTCCCGCCTTCCCCGCTCGAGGGGCGCCGCCTGTCCCCCGGCTCGTGGAGGCCTCGTGGACCTCCTCCCTGGAGGTGGCACCCCTGGTGCATGGTGGTGGTGTCGCTTTGCTCTTTTCTGGGCGGGGTGGGGCGGGGAGCATGAAACCCAGACCTCTGCGACGATTCGATGTTTTCAGTCCTGGCGCTTCTCCTCGATGTCTGCCTCCAGGGTTGGTTCACCGGCAGGCGCCAGGACCCTCACACACGGATGCGCGGCGGAAGAACAACGCCCGGGGGAGCGCAGGCGTGCCGCAGGAAGCGCGACGGCGCACCCTCGGATGGATCGGCGGCACGCGCAGGCGTCGCCACGCACCATCGAGTCAATCGAGACGTGGCCAGCACCGACATCCCCCCCCACACACGCACGCACACGCACATACCACGCACACGCACACGCACACACACACACACACCCACACACAACACACACACACAAACAACACACACAACACACACACACACACAAACACCCACACACACACACACGCACACGCACACGCACACGCACACGCACACGCACACGCACACGCACACACACACACACATACACACACACACACACACACACACACGCACACGCACACGCACACGCACACGCGCACGCACACGCGCACGCGCACGCGCACGCGCACGCGCACGCGCACGCGCACGCGCGCGCTTCCCCGCTCTCTTCCTCGGCAGGCGGCTGCAGAGAGGGGGGGGGAGCGGGGAGGGCGGAGAGGGAGGAAAGGTCTTTCTCTCACAAAAGGTGCTCACACAGATGGGGCTCTTGACCAGCGATCGGGTCGAGCGGGGCACTGGAAAACGGGCAGACGGGCTTCCGGCAGGCGAAACGGCGGACCCCGACGGGCAGGTCGGGGGGCGGGCGGGGCCCAAACGGGGCGGCTCGGGCGGGCGGGGCACTGAAGCGACAGGTTTCCTTGAATTGCGAAGGAGCCTGGCGAGAGCACGAGCCTGCAGTGGATTTCAAGGAGGTCTTGCGCGAGAGCGCGATTCCTGGGCGTCGATGGCGCGGGGCCTTCATAGATTGCAGGGACGTCCTGATCAAGAGCGCGAATCACGAGTGCCGTGTGAGGAAGCCCCGCGCGCGCGACTTTGAATGACTTGTGAAGTCGTATCAGGCGGGAGCCGTTGTCGAATTCTCATGTCTAAGGGATACCAAGTGGTGATCCCCCCCATCCGGTGCCCATTGTCTTTTTTCAAATGAAGTGCCCCTCCCGATGCCCGCAACTGGTTCTTTACACGGGGGAGTCGAGTTTCAGACTGTGTTGCTGGCCCTCGGTTTACTACAACAACCGCTCACCCTGATACTTTTCTCATAATGTAGTGTGCTTTCGGGCTTACGCGAAGGACTTACTTGCAACTTATCTAGGACTCGCGCTCTCGCCTGAAACTTCCGAACAACTTATTCACAAATCGCTCTCGGCGCTCTGGAATCGCGCTCTCGTTCCGGACTTCATCATACTGTACTCGGGAAGCGCGCTCTCACCTGAGATTTCCTGGCCATCTCCTTCTGCTAATCCCTCTTGCTGATCCCTCTCGCCTCTGTCTTTGTTTTCGCTCTCTCCCTTTTCCGTTGTGACTGTTTTTCCTGCTTCAAGGGCTGCGACAGTTACGCGCGACAAGGGAGGAGGCGAAGAATATGGGCACCCAGGGCGTGGGAGATACATGTTGGATTGTACGCGAGTGTACGAATTGAGCAGGGACCCACCATCCCGACATTCCTATAGGCCTACCACGACATGTTCTCAGAACCCAAATATGTTGTAATAATAAAAACATGGTCTTAGAACGTGAACCCGATGTGCTAAAACAAGACAGTCCAAGCCAGACATATTATACAAACAATTTCGTAGAAACCACAAACGGTTCTTAGAACATTGTTGGGTGGGCCGATAGGCTTGCCAGGGCACTTCGTCACAGCTCAAATGTGAGCGAGCCGTCTTAAAATGGTTGTAATTGTTACTTCACTCCACTTCCAAATAATGTCTGCGGTTGGTCTCCCCTTCTGGTGCACACTGTGTGCTTTGCATGTTGTGTGCCTTACGTGCTTCTGTGCATTGGGGCTCGCATACTTGTTTTTTCCAAGGAAGGCCTTGGGGCTCAGACTGTGTTGTTGGCCCTGGCCCTCTGCAACAACAACGGTTCCCGCCTGACGCTTCCTCACAATCACTTGAAAAGTTTGGCTTTTGCTAAGGGACTTCCTTGCGTTTGTCCAGAAACTGTGCTGTCGATGCTAAAAAACAAGCTGCCAACCCCGAGGTAGGAACTTCAACTGAAAAGACACAATGGGCACGCGTGGAAGGGAGGATCAACCATAATCATCTTCTGGAATCAGAATGTAAAGCTCCGCGCCGCGGAACCCCACCTCAGCCACGCCGTCAGGGGCAGTGTAACTAATACTGCTCGGCCCCATCACTCTGATAGTGAGAAGCGAGGAGGGGAAGGCTACAAGGGATCCCAATGGAGTCTCACCAACCGGTTCCTGGAAGAGGCGGAGCAGCAAGACGGATCTGATGGTGGAGGATCGGGAGGGAGCGGAAAGAGAAACTGACGGAGCAGAAGGACGACGACGACGATGGGGAGGAGAACGACGACGAGCGGGCAACAAACAGCTCGGGTGCGGGGGGGATGATGGGCCTCGCCTTCTCCCTAAGCCTGGCGGTCTTGAGAGCCAGACCCTTGCCCGAAAACATGTTGTCCAACCAACGTGTGCAGTCGGAGCCTCCCTCTCCTTCTCGTCCTCGTCCTCCGTCCTTTCACATACATCGCCCAGACGAATGTTGTTCCCCACTGGGCCCGGAACGACGGCTTGAAGTCCTGAGCTGACGCGTATGAGATAACCGCGGGATCCAACTAAGTTCGCGCGGGTCCAATTTTGGTCTTGGTTTCTGTTCCTGTGGATCCAATTTCCGCCCTCACGGATCCGATTTCGGATTTTCAAAATCCGCGTGTATTCCTTATTTTACGGTGGATATGACTTCTACCCCGTCCTAAATTTATATTTGAGATAAAAACGAGGAGCCGGAAAACATCGGATTCGCGGACACCGGAAACCACCCGTGTTAAGATTCTACGGGGGTTGGTGGTTCGGCCACCAACTTCCCAAGATGGGCCCTGCGCTGTCCCGCGCAGTCCCATCCATCAACTTTCCGCGAGCGCGGGCCCCAACATGAATACATACCTCTCCTCCCGGTTGCTGCACGCAGCTCGTCCATACGCCGTCCGTTCGGCGGCGCCGATGTTATCTCGCGAAGTCCTGATCGCCACTTTCACCTCAAGGGGAAAATCTTTCGTCATGCGTAAGTGCGTTTCGGCCCTGCGTTTGCTGACTCAACGGGCTGCCTACTCCTCGTCTCCCTTTCCGCCTTCCACGTATAAGCGAGCGTGGGC